TTTCCTTATCACTCAAAAAAGTCCTACCACCTAATTTTCAATGCCCTTAACTAATTCTTTTTTTAACTTTTAAAGCAGAAAGTAACAAACTTTTACTCTGTCCACATACTTTTTTTTACTCTGTTTACATACTTTTATTCTCCCTACCAACCTGAGTCCACCAACTTTTAATCGGTCCACCAACTTTTAATCGGTCCACCAACTTTTAATCGGTCCACCAACTTTTAATCGGTCCACCAACTTTTAATCGGTCCACCAACTTTTATTCTGTCCACATAATTTTTTATTCTGTAGACATACTTTTTTATTCTGTCCACATAATTTTTTTAGCTGTTCACATAACTTTTTAGCTCTGTTCACATAACTTTTTAGCTCTGTTCACATACTTTTTTACTCTGTCTACATACTTTTACTCTCTCTACCAACCTTACTGTGTCCACCAACTTTTACTCTGACCACATAATTTTTTATTCTGTCCACATAATTTTTTACTCTGTCCACATACTTTTTTTACTTTGTTCACATCCTTTTACTCTCTCTACCAACCTGTGTCCACCAACTTTTACTCTGACCACATAATGTTTTGCTCTGTCCACATTCTTTTTTTGCTCTGTTCACACACTTTTTTACTCTGTTCACATACTTTTTTACTCTGTTCACATCCTTTTACTCTCTACCAACCTGTGTCCACCAACTTTTACTTCAAAAACTACCCTTCTCACACCCACATCTGCTGCTCAATGCTGAAACACCCTCCCCCCTTTCCTAGCACTTGGAGCCTCTCACTTTTTGCACGACCCAGACACCCTCCATCTTCATTCACCTACCAAATTATCTAACAACTTAATACATACTATATGCTTTCCCAACCAGTATGGCTGACTGACATTAAAATACTTACCTTTATACAGTAAATTCAATATTAGGTTAATCGTACAATATGTCTGCCCACAGGTAAATTTATTGTGCCGTTAACCATGATCACCTATGGTATGCTGAATGCTCTTTCTTATACCTTAATCCCGGTGAAAGTAACTTTCATCAAAATCATGGCTGGTCTCTTACTGTTTTCTCATGGAAATAGGATTTGTGTTGGTGCTATCTTTACCAAGGAAATTTTGTGTAAGTTTTCTACTAAAATCTTTTATTTCCAATGCAATTTTACCCAGTGATTGTAATAACGAATGGTAGTTTTCTTTTGATTATAACGTAGTTTTACTCTACTCTCTTTGTAAACGTAATTAGTTTCATGATAATTAGGAGTTTCTTGCCTTAGTTTACAATTCCCAGTCTCAGTGAATTTAACAAGCCTACAACAGGGTAGCTGCTCGCAGATGACCCACCATTCCTCTTTCTGTGACTTAAGAGTGAAAAACTCAGCCAGTCATGATCAAAATAGTGAAGATATTTCATATTTTCTGCCATTTGTCATATGATATTTCTGATGAAAGTATTGAGGTATCATATATAAAATAACAATTAATAGTATTGTACAAAGTAAATAGATATTTGAAAAAAAAAATTTCTTTTAGATGGTAATGTAAAAGATAGTGCAAATGTTGACAAGCAGTTTCTGGAGGGAGCTCTGTACATAATTCTCAACAGTGTTTTCAATTGTTTCATTGTCTTTGCAGTGGAAACCATTTCTAATATAAAGGCTAGTACACTTACTTAAATAGTTTTAAAGCAGATTTAACCAAGTAATATTTTCCAATCAGACCCTTGGTATAATGCACCTAACAAGTGGGGATAGTTAGCCTTTTTATTTAATGGAGTAAGAAGATGGGTGGTAGTTTAGAGCACTGTTATCATATGCTGTCTTTGATATTTGTTACAAAATTTCGACTTAGGATGGTTAAACAAGGGGACATAATAACATTCTACAACATTTTAAAAACTCAATACATGGCATTACCATTGCTTCTAATCCAGATGTAACAATCAATTTATTTGAAATGTGATAACCATAATTTGTTTTTAATTCTAAATATTGTGTTCTACAAGGTTTCCTAGAAATGTTATAAACTTAGGGTTCAGTGGTCTAGGAAATTCTACATAATGTTAAAATGGGGAATGAGATGGGTTACAAAATATATTAGTTTTGTTGTATATATTTACAATATTAATTATGATTGTAAATTTGCTTTGTATGATGGTCATAAATGTGTGTTTGGTTTTTGTTTGTTTCTATTTCACTTTAATGTTGATATACCATAAATAAATGAATGTGTTTATTATGCTGTTTCTTTTTCAGAAATACAGAACAAATTCTAAAAACATGGAGAAAAGCAAGAGCCAATCTCAGAATGAGAAACTTTTTGAAGCTGTAGCTGGCAGTCAAAATGCAGGAATTGTCATTCAAGATCTTGTAAAGGTAAGAAGTATATATGGCGTAAAAAAATTGAGGTAGGCATACAAAATGTGTGACCCTATTCAACGGTTTGAGTTGATTAGCAATCAAGGCTGATATTAAGTTTTTCAGTCTGTCTTAATGCAATTTTAAATGAGATTTTTTTTGTGAAAACTGTTAAAGAATCTGATCATCAGCCTCTGTGTAATAATAGATTTGTTATTAGACAAAAAGTGATTCTGAGAATTTTTCAATCTGGCATCAGTATATCAAACAATGCCAGTTGGGTACACTTGGAAAAGTTATGTTGATTTTTGTTAAGTATATTTCCAAAATTTATTTCCTAGACCTATGCCCATATTTTCAGCTGTAGTTAAAAACCATTTAATTTGTAAAGTGAGATGCATTTGTTACAGGTCACTTGTATGAAAAATATTTTCAAAATATGTTTGGTGTAACATATTTTATTGCTAATTTTCAAGTTAATTGTTTAATGCTACTCTATTCAGGTGTATGGGGATGACACAGTTGTGTCTGGTATCAACTTAGATATCTACAAGGACCAAATCACTATGTTGTTGGGTCACAATGGTGCTGGAAAATCAACTGTATTATCAATGGTCATGGGTATGTTTGTCCATTGTTGTCATTTTGCAAGTAGCTGTGTCTGTTGTGTCAATATTTCTTGTGCCTTCATCTATGTATCTAGCAGAAGTTAAACATTTATTTCAGCTGTGTGGCTATAACTTGATAGTTAGGATTTACAGAGTATACCCCCAAATGCTCAAAAACATGCTAAATAAATGTTAAGTTGTCAGTTTTAAAATTAAAGCATTGCTTATGATAAGCATGGTTAACTATTTATTTTATAATTAATCTAATGCCTAAAGAAATGCTACTTTACATTACTGTAAATATTTTTTTTCAGGCGCCACGGCAATAACTAGTGGTAAAGTAACCATTGATGGAACTGACATAAAAGCTGCTGACCTTAGAAGAATGCTGGGGTATTGCCCTGAAGCAGATACATTATTTCCCAAACTTTCTCCATATGACCATTTGGTTTTTTTCTCTTTGGTAAGAATATTATATTTTTGTTTCAAGATCCTAGATAGATTCTCGTGCTACTGATATATTATACCCATGCTTCGCTACTGTAATAGTAATGGCATAATGCTCTCATGGATGTCGGTCCCAGATTTTCATTCTCCCCTTCTTTGTGGTGTAACTTAAACAACCTATGTACAACACACTTTCTCTGCTGTCAGTGTCGAGTGAGAGCACTGGCCCTACCCATGCACCACATTCACCAGCTTTTAAAACAAAGTGGCTATACCAATGATGGAAGGGTGGACATAAGATTGTGCCACTGGCACTACTTATACTATGTGTGTATATATATATATATATATATATATATATATATATATATATATATATATATATATATATGTAGTAAAGGTCACAGAAGATGCTGCACAAAAATAAAAGAAAGCAGGTTACCCAAGAGGCTCTGATACATTAAATTATTTTTATAAAATTATCAGAAAAAGATAATTTTTTGAACATATTCAGTTTTAACCAAGTAATTGGCAGTCTTATCTTTGAAGATCACAAATAAATAGATTGAAGCTTTTCCAGTCACTTTGAAGCCAATCAATTTTGTTTTTATGATTTATATATTTTATGTGTTACTATTTAAAAAAACCTCTTACGCCCTTGAAATGTTTCTACAAGTTACGCAATAACAGTATCAAGGAAGCGGATGCTTTAGAAATGTTGACACAGATAGGGCTTGCTGATAAGGCGAATGTGTGTTCTGAAGTTTTGTCATGTGGCCAAAAGCGGAAAATTTCAATAGCCTGTGCTTTTGTTGGCAACACAAAGGTATTTAAATTTTACAAAATTACAGCTTTAAAAGTTGGGTGGGTAATGAAAACTAAATTAGCCAAAATGCTTATTTATAAACCTAATTATATCATATCTAGCAAATCGCTATATAACTCATAGCGTTATGTCTAAAAAATTTAAAATGGCCGATAATTTCCTGCCATTGCCATGGTGACGAGAGATTGAAAGTTTAAGACATTTGAAACTATTATCTATATGACATTTGTAGACTAACTCAATTGACATTACTAAAAATTTGTAAAAACAGACCGTCATCCTGGATGAGCCTTCAACTGGACTGGATCCAGGCTCCAGACAAGACATGTGGAGAGCTTTGAAAAGTTGGCGCCAAGGTCGAACTATTTTTATGACCACACATTTTATGGTTGAGGCCGAGAACTTGGGTGACAGGATAGCCATCATGGAGAAAGGCAGGATCAAGTGCTGTGGGACTCCAATGTTTCTCAAGGAAAAATGTGGTGAAGTTTATATACTTACAACACTAGCAATGATAATTATTATTCATTTTAAAGATTTTAGGCATATTCCTTTGGGGAGGGGGGGAGCAATACAGTCTAGTGGGATGATGTGGTCGAATGGTAGAGCTCTAAACTACTAACTCGAAAGTCTCAAGTTCTTCTCACTTGATACATTTCCTGTTTAAACTGCTTAACTTGCTATAGTTGGCTGTATACCCGCGCCTGACACAGCCTCAGGATTTTTGTCCAAAAATTATCGCATATATGGAATATGATGTAGTTGGTGTTCTGACATTGTATTTCAAATTTTATTGGGCTTAAATTGTTAAGAGGTGCCGGAATACTAATAGTGCAAAACAATATAAAAATTTATGTTTTTACTTAGAAATTTGTTTTGGTTATAACGCACGTGTAGAAAAATGACCACCGTGTCATCAGGGGATACATTATAAACAGAAACTTCCAATAATAATCAAACCATTTGTACTGATTGTATTGAAAAATAGTGTGGATATTTTAAAAAGTAGAAAGAAAAATAATATTTCAGAGAAATATATAGTGTGCACACTTATTGTTAACCTATTGTTTCATAACCAGGACTGGAGCACATGCTAACTATTGTCAAGGGAGACAACTGCAAGGACCACAAGGTTGTCCAATATGTCATGTCTATTATAAGAAAAGCCATTTTTCAGGTAACCACGCAAGTAACTTATTTTTTTAAACTTATCTAAAACCGAAACAATTTTAAAGAGATTAATTTATCTTTATAAATATTAAAAAAAACTGCAAGTTACAAGAATTTAATTGGTATTTTGCATGTAGTTTTCAGAATAACACCATTTTAGTAGTATGGTCCTGAGATCAAGTGCCTTATTGTCTATAGCTCATTATAAGTTCACTGTGCTATTTTTGATTTGCAAAACATCTCATAAATACAATTGAGATTCAATAATAGTCAGCTGCAGTAAAATTTCAAAAATAAATGTTATAAAAAAAGAAAATAGAAAAACTGAATGGCAGCTCTGTTCTTCACATATTTGAGAAAATTTTTAAAATAAATGACTACCATAATGGGATATTCCCAATACAAATTTTCCTATCAGGTCAGGTTTTCATACAATTTCAGTCCTATTATCCTGACAATGTTCAACTTAATAATGTTCTGTTTTAAACTATATTTTCTTATTGATTTCCATGTCTAAATGATATTAAAGCCTTTTGGTTTTATTGATTATCCAATATATAATTGCATAACTTACAAACAACTACTACACAATACAATTATTTAGTTTTTATTTTCATTGTTACAAATATGATTTAATTTCTATTTTCTCTGTAACAAATTAGTTTCTTTTATTATAGTTTTAAATTGTTTTTATTTCCTACAAGACTTCAAACAATAGTGAAATATCTTTTACATTGCCTGGAAATCGTGGCACGGAAATTCCAAAACTGTTGCAAGGCCTGGAAGAGAACAAGGAAACATTGAATATAACTTCATATATGGTGGCTTCAACTTCTGTAGAGGATGTGTTTACAAGGTACCAAATAGGAAGTTGGCTATACATTTTAATGATGTTTTAACCTACGGCTATATATATCTCTATGGGACGGCGTGTCCTTAGCGGTAGAGCGCTAGGCTGCTAACCCACAAGTCTCGAGTTTGAATCCACATTCAAGTCAGTGATATTAGTATGTCTCTTAGTCCACCCAGCTCTAATGGGTACCTCACGTTGGGGAAAATAAAGGCGGCTGGGCAAAGTGCTGACAACACCTTCCATTCATATGCCGAGGTCAAGAAACATTAACTCAACTTTATCTGCCTAATGGATCGCTAGGTCTAAAGAGATTCTTTTTTTTTTTTATTTATATATATCTGTAAGCTTGACAATAGCAACTGAATCTTGCTAGTGTAGCAATATGTGTGAGAAGTCTACTACCAAAACCTACTCGATTTAAGTCTATTTGTAAAGTAGATTTTATCTCTTTTAAAAAATTGTCATTTTGCAGTATATTACAAAATTTTCATTCAGAAAGATATTCTTTAAAGTTAATCTTTTAATAGTAAAAAAATCTTAAGATTAGCTAAACAAAATTTTTAAAAACAGCAGTAAAATCCATCTTAAATGACTTATCAGGGTTTGCAAGTGCTATCTTTTAATACAAGTGTAACACTCACTCAATGGGGATGCTTATTACCCACTGAGGTGTTGTGTTTAAAAGGGCTGACCCTGAGATAAAGCACACAATGGGATGACGCTGGTGTTATGAACTACTGACTTTATTGACATTAGCATCAAGCCATAAATGGCGATGTAGAACAGTAGAAAACACAGTAGAAAATAGTAGACAAACTACTGATGACGAAATATACTGTAGAGAACAGTAGAAAACAGAAAAACAGTGTAGAACACAGCAAACAGTGTGCCCAATGTGGGGTAACAATATGTGTTACACAAGATGATAACACTTCTTAAAAAAGAATGCTCCTATAGTCATTACAGTTTTACTGAATTTCCCATAACTGCATTGCACAAAACTTAACTGTAAACAAACAGTAAACCAAACTAACACTAACCCCACAACTAACCCTAACATCCATCTTTAAACACAGCTCTAACCTAGCAACAAAAACAGATAAAATGAGACCCAAAGTCTCTGAAGTTGTCACTGAATTTATTTGTTAAACTGTTTCTTGACATTAACTCCCATAATTGCATTTTAAAGAATGTCTAGGATTTGTATCAAATGCTGGGCCCCAAACTTTATCAATATTATGTATAATGGGTATTCTCTAGAGACTAGAGAGGGGTAATTAACTGACAGGGGTTGGGGGGATTCATCTGGGGGAAATGTCATAAGCCCATACATATCATCTATCTTTCCATGATCAACCCACACATATAGCTAAACAACCTAGGAACTCCTCAAATATAGGACCCCCATTATAAATAATCTCTACCCCAGACAACCTCTCTCTACTCAAAGAACCCCCATTATAAATAATCTCTACCCCAGACAACCTCTCTCTACTCAAAGAACCCCCATTATAAATAATCTCTACCCCAGACAACCTCTCTCTACTCAAAGAACCCCCATTATAAATAATCTCTACCCCAGACAACCTCTCTCTACTCAAAGAACCCCCATTATAAATAATCTCTACCCCAGACAACCTCTCTCTACTCAAAGAACCCCCATTATAAATAATCTCTACCCCAGGCAACCTTTCTCTACTCAAAGAACTCCCATTATAAATAATCTCTACCCCCAGACAATCTTTCTCTACTCAAAGAACCCCCATTATAAATAATCTCTACCCCCAGACAACCTTTCTCTACTCAAAGAACTCCCATTATAAATAATCTCTACCCCCAGACAACCTTTCTCTACTCAAAGAACTCCCATTATAAATAATCTCTACCCCAGACAACCTTTCTCTACTCAAAGAACTCCCATTATAAATAATCTCTACCCCAGACAACCTTTCTCTACTCAAAGAACTCCCATTATAAATAATCTCTACCCCAGACAACCTTTCTCTACTCAAAAGAACCCCCATTATAAATAATCTCTACCCCCAGACAACCTTTCTCTACTCAAAGAACCCCCATTATAAATAATCTCTACCCCAGACAACCTTTCTCTACTCAAAGGACCCCCATTATAAATAATCTCTACCCCCAGACAACCTCTCTCTACTCAAACATAGGACCCCCATTCCAAAAACCTCAGATCTTATCAGAAAATCTACCTACTACCAATATTAAAAGCCCTAAATCACACTACTTACAAAATGAAAACCTATTCCCAGATATTTATTTAAAGAATAAAACCAGTGGTTATTCTACAGACTTGGTGGTCAGTATGGCAGGTGAAGTAGAGTTTTATCTGTTTCCCTGGCATATAAAGGGATTGTGTTGTCAGAAACATGCTTCACAATTTTTTTTTTTCTACCAAAACAATTTATTTTATTATTCAAGTCTTGGAAAATTAATACTCAAATGGAGGCCAAGCATGTATTGAATGAATATTCATGAATGGCAAAAAGTGCTGTTGATAGTTCAATCTGAGAAAGAAAGTATAGGTTAACTGGTGTTTTTTTTTTGTTTCATAAAGACTGGATGAAAATACTGAAGCAGAAATTAAATCCCCTACCAAAACGTAAGTAAAAGTTTTGTATTGCATTTGTTTCCGATTGTGCTTAGATTCCTTTGTTGTTTTTTGGCAAATTAGAAAAACAGCTATATGGATCAACCAGTTATCCAGTATGATCTAACATATTTTCTAAAAAATCTTCTATTCCAAAGCTTTGTTTTCCTATATTTAATAGACCTACCCATGAATCTCTTTAAGTATATAAGTCAAATACTAAGAAGTAAAAAACATAAAATATAAGACTATAATTAGGTTTATTGCTTCAATTAATTGAACATACTTAAATCTCAAAAACTTGTATTAAGGCTTGAATAGGCTATATTGTTACTGAGGTATTTCATTTTCTTAGGGTTTGATTACATGCTTGGAATAGAGGTAGTTAACTAGGAAAAATTAATTTTAAATAGTTCGGATTAAACACTTATGATTTTGACTGTTTTTTATTTTTTTCTAATAAGTGAAGTGAATCAGCAGAATTTATATCCTGCATAATATCAGAAAAAAATTATGTTTAAGAATTCTTATGTGTTTTCATTTTATTAGTTTTCTAGAGTATTGCAGGTTGGCTTTCTTCTTCTAACATTGAATATAAATACTGAGAACAATAAGTTTTTTGTAAAAAATATTTCTTTTTGAATCTTATTTTGAAAATTAAAAACAATTTTTATTTGATGAATACTAGTACTATTTGGGCCTATATGCTGCTGTTTTTTTTAATTAGCTAAAATGTATATATGCCTGTCGCCACTACTACACTACTAGTTAATTTGTGCAACTATAATTCTTTCCTAAATTTTATATGCAAAGATAATCCCAAATAGTCTTATTAAGCCCTCAAAATAAAGCAGGCATTATGTCCCCTATACTTTCTGTATACAGGTATAAGAGAGTAGGGGATGGAATGGCACTTGGAGTCTTCTTCTTCTTCTTCGTTCTTAATTATTAGTGTTGAAGGGGATCGAGATTTATCAACCAGTGGGTTTGAGCTCAAGACTTTGTTCGAATTTATCAACCATGAGCTTTTTGCCGACCCGACCACGCCTCTAACACAATTAAGCGTTGCGTGTCAACTGGTTATGCGCATTGAGGCCATTGACTCTGATTTCAGCCTGCTTTTCTT